CTTTATATATATATATATATATAAATAAATATAAATATATATATATTAGTTTTTATAGAAATCTGGTATTAGTGAGAAAACTAAAATTCTCCAAATTTGTATTACATTGCACTACATCTGAGTGTGTATTTTTAAAAACTGTCTCTTAAGATGTTTCTTATAAAAGTACATTTTCAGGATTCAATTTTGAAAAATTAAGGTAAAAAAAATGATCATAAATCTTAAGCTCACAAACTGTATATATAAATGTAGCATGGCACACAGTCATTGTCATCCACACCTTCACAGCCTAATGCCACGTTCACACTGACAGCATTTAAATCGCTGGGGATCGTCTCTTTTTTCCATGGTGGTCCTAATTTGCTGTGGTATCCAACTGTATGGTAACATTTAGTGGCGTGCACGGGGTTACCTTTAATTGCCGACGCTTAAGTGCCCTTTTGGTCCGGTCTATGTCTATTTCTACCGAAGGCCGGACTGGGATGCAATTTCAGGCCGGGAAATTTCACACTCATTAATTTGTAGGCCTTGCACTGCACCTTCACTTCCCTTTCCCTTTTCTTCATTTTCCCCAATATCTCTGTCTTTTTCTTACCTGTCACTTCTTCACCAGCAGGTCTACTGTTATGAATAGAACTTTGTCCACCTTGTTGAAAACTACCCACCCATTTCAATGTGTTGTTAGCATAATACCCTAGATTTAACAAACCTATGTTACATACAAATATACACTACCAGTCAAAAGTTTTTGAACAGTAAGATTTTTAATGTTTTTTAAAGAAGTCTCTTCTGCTCACCAAGCCTGCATTTTTTTGATCCAGAGTACAGCAAGAGCAATACTGTGAAATATTTTCACTATTTAAAATAACTGCTTTCGATTGGAATATACTTTAAAATGTAATTTATTTCTGTGATCAAAAAGCTGAATTTTTAGCATCATTACCCCAGTCTTCAGTGTCACATAATACTTCAGAAATCATTCTAATATGATGATTTGGTGCTCAAGAAACAACTTATT